TTTTCATAGCGGAAAATGAATAAAAAATAAAAAAATATATTGAAGAAACAATCAAAAATTATGGCCGAGAATCGAACCCCGCTCCTTCAGTGTAGAAAATCTCGGTCGTCGCCCTTACGCTACAACTTAACTTAAGTATTTATGGAAATAAATATATAATTAGGGAAGTAATAAGACTTTAATCGCAAATAACTCAAAAATTATCGAGTAGTTAGGGCTATAATGATACATTTTCTGAAACAGCAGGACGATATCTACAAAGTTGCAAAGTTTCAACTGAATCGGTGACCCGAAGGACTTACACTCACCTTGTTAGCCTAATTTCTTCACCGACGCGATCGGTTAGGCGTCTTTCTCGACGATCGCGTATACAGCTTTCTCTTCTATGTATATCGAGACGGTTTCGCGAAGGAATCGGCTGCACTTGGCGATCGAAGAAATTGGACTTTTTCCTCTTAAAATGCAACGCACAATTACTATGTTCTTGGGCGTATGGTAGAAAGCGATTTTTCGTATGCCACGAAGCAGCCTTGTTGAAACGCGTCGACCTTTGGTCCCGATATTGGTCTCGCCGTTTTCATTCCTTGCGACGTTTCACTTTTACCGGCAAAATCGGTGCGAAATGCTGATGAAAAGAAAGTTCGCGGAGGACGGTAGAACGTGTATCGGCAAAAGATTACGCAAGCGGAGATTTATTCGGCGGCAGTCGCGTCAGACTGCGACCGGCAAATCGCGTCGTGTGGAAATTATTTGAAATCACCGACTAAGTGGAATGCGGAAAAATGAAGCCGGAAGATTCCGAAAGACCAAGTACCTACTAACAACTCGGTGAAACTAGCTGCGGCGTCGGATAATCGTTTTTCTTTATTACTAAATGCATCCTGCTGGTAATGGACGTTTTGTTACGCGGTCATAGCTGGCGACACCTTTCTTCGATGTAGTTCGGTTCCGAGCAGTTTACTCTGCGCCAGGCTGTTTCGAATTACCCGTTCCGGACTCGTTTTCTTTTTCTTACTTTTCCCTCTTCGATTTCCTGTCGTTGGAAATAGTCATCGTGTCGTGTTCAATCAAGTACGCGCTATTGCAGGCACAAACGTCGCCTTTCGCAAACCGACGAATCAATCGACGACCGTGAGAGGTGGAGATGCTAGCCATGGAAATGACGGAGACTCGAGTACCGAACACGACGGGAAGAGATGCACCGAGACGCAAAGCGAGCCTAGCCCTTGGTGGAAGGTCGACCTTCTCAAGTCGTATTCGGTAAAAGTCGTCAGGGTAACGACCAGAGGTTGCTGCGGTAAATTTTTATTCTTACTTGTCACGTGTTTACCTTGTCTCTATACGGAAAGTAGAATGGAAGCGAATATCGTTTCGCAAAACTGAATAAACTCGCGTTGAAACCGACACTTTCTTTTCAAAGTTACATCGCGTGTAGAACTTTCTTTGGAGAAGTGTTCTTCGGTTAGTGTAACGCTTTTCTCGAATTGAACGGTGTCGACTCGAAATTGAAAGCGAATTATCGTTCCGAACAGGCCATCAACCTCTTCAGGACATCGAAATACGCGTTGGTAACAGTAGCGTAGAATTGCAGCGTAATCCTTTGTGCGCCTGGTTTCCTGGCACGATCGGTAAGCAGCTGGAAGTTTATTAAGATGTAGGTGCGATCGTGATCTTATTTCTATTAAATCGATTCTTATAGAGGAAGGGATCACGAAGACATTTGTATGCGCCAGAGCTCTCTTCGGGCAGTATGTGTTCTTGCAATTGGTCGGAGTGGAAGGAAGTTTGAGTCTGTGCGAGGTGGAAGTGTTTGCCGTGGATGGTAAGTCGGAAGTTTGAAAGCGCGAGTTATCGTCGACAGCCTATTAAACAAAATTCCTGTAGGAAAGTTCTACCTGATTTTTCGTAGAGTTCTCAACAGACAGGTGTGCCTACAGTGGAACACCGGCTGACGCAGACTTGGCCGCTTTCAATTCCACCTGTTACGAGTTTATCGTGAAAAAGGGAGGCTCTTTCCAAGAGGCCAGGAATTATTGCCGCACAAGAGGCGGCGATCTCGTTCATGGATTCAAGGTCTCTATACCAAACGCTCTTTAATTCTCCCTTGAACGTGTTCCAGCTGTTCTTTCTGCTATGATCCTCCTATGTGTTCTAATAATATAGGGTTCTGCTTCGGTATACATACTGAACAACCTCGAGAGGCGGAAAGACAAACTGAAGACACAGCTGGTCTGGATAGGTGCTCAGAAGGAACCTCTAATAACGGCACGAACGTGGCGATGGGTTGACGGTGAATATTTTACATTCTTTGTCCCTTCGATTCCTGTCTGAGTTTCCTCCGTTCATTGACTGAATGGCCAAAACACTTTTTTCCCTTCTCACGATTTATCGGTAACATTCATGAGAACCGGGTCGAAAAGGTACGGTTAGGCAACGCTGGTTGGATTCGTCGGCCCGAGCCAATCAATTTGCTTCGTAATTACGCGATAATTATAGTTCCGTCGACCAGCTCGATTCGTTAGTCGAAAACGTCGAAATTCGTCTACCTGACTCGCCATCGGAACCTACGAAATCGAAGATCGGCCCGACACGGCCGGCTGTCGGCGCAATAGCACGCGCTAATAAATAGAACGTGAAAGTTACGACTATGGGGAAATCAACGGGAAGTTACACCCGTGAGCGTCTGTTCGAACGTATAATCTCTGTTAATTGTTTGTTGCGTCTGGATCGAGCAGACGACAGGCTTGTTTCAGATATTAATACTCCTATGAGGGAGTTGAAGACCTTGTGGTTTACCGGCTAATGTTCGACGAAGCGTAATTCGATGTAAAAATGAAACGCAATATGTTTATTACTATTTGTAGGTGAAATTGTGCAGAAACCTTCCTGGGGAAAGGATCAACCAAATAATTACAACGGGGAACAAAATTGTGTAGTGTTAGACGGAGGTCGTAGCTGGCTATGGAACGATGTCGGCTGTAACCTTGACTACTTGCATTGGATATGTCAAAGCAGTAAGTATCAATCGATGTGCAGATACATAAATATGGAAACCTTTGTAATAAATTCACTTGAACGTATACGCATAAATACTCTGTATGTACGTATCTCTATCGATTTGTCTAGGACCACCTACTTGCGGTAGTCCGGAAAAGTCCGAGAACACAACGATTACGGGCACTAAACGAACCATAGGATCTACGATAGATTACGTTTGCCCCGATGGATACATGTTAATAGGTTCAAAAAGCAGAACGTGCGAGCCAAGCGGATTTTGGAGTGGTGAAGCTGCCACGTGCAAGTGTAAGTTTAATCGCACATGCGACGCTGCGTGTGCTGTATAATTGCTAGGATAATGCAATTGACGATTAGTAAGCGTCTTGCGTACACTCAACGTCAATTTTTAAATGCTTATAGTCGTCGATTGCGGTTCTCTGCCTGAGCTGGAGAACGGTATGATCACGCTGGTCGATAAAAGAACAACTCACGGCGCGTTAGCTGATTACGCGTGTAAAGAAAACTACACGTTGCTGGGTGATGCTAGGCGTAGATGCGGAGACGGTGGTATTTGGAGTGGACACCAACCTCAGTGTTTATGTATGCGAGATCAATTTCATCGTGACATTATCACGAATCGTAGCGATGTCTGTAATTTAAAATACCGTTTATAATTTTCCAGTTGACTGGTGCCCGGAACCACCGCAAATTAACGGCGGAGTTGTAACAACGACTGGGAGAAGAGCTGGCTCGACAGCCACTTACTCTTGTCAAAATGGTTTCATTTTATTCGGAGATAACGTAAGTAACTTTCAGTACAATTTGAATTGTACATAATTTATCCTACTGGCAATTTCACTCATTTGCTATTCCCTCGGCGTAAAGACATTTCGAACGTAAATTTCATTACGTATACCTCTCAGCGCGATTACAACGGTATTACTTATAAAAGTTTCAAAAGGTTTGCGTAACCTGTTTACCTAAACGATTACACTGCGAACGGAATATTAAACATCGTTAACGTGGATAATCAATTTCGAAAGGTTCTTACGTGTGATGTTGGCGGAGAATGGTCCGGTAAAGCGCCCCAATGCCGATTCGTCGATTGTGGAGCACCGGCACAAATTGAATTCGGTTCCGTGACCCTAATTAATGGCACCACCACGGTTAAAAGTTTGACTGTGTATACGTGTTTGGAAGATTACTGGCTGATTGGCGAGGCGAAACAAGAGTGCACTAAAGAAGGGAAATGGAGTCACAATACGCCATCCTGTGAATGTAAATAGATTAAATCGTTAATCTTTTTCTGATAGATGCGATACTAAATAATATAAAAAAGCATGTAACATAGAAGCTCCGATTATTTTCCGAGTATAGTAATCACTTGCGAAGAGCCCGAGGTACCAGCAGGAAGCTACGTCGTTGGATACGACTTGAACGTTCATAGCGCTATTGAGTACCACTGCGAGCCAGGATATTTACTTCAAGGCGAAACCAGACATACTTGTGGCAGAGACGGTGAATGGTCAGGAGAAGTGCCGACCTGCGAGTGTAAGTTTTTTCGTTATTGAATTCATTAAAAAATGCTTTTCAATGGCATATACGTCTAGTTATTAAGACTTGTTTTCTGATTTATAAAAGTTTCTAACGATAACGTCCTCACCTTCCTACAGACGTAGATTGCGGGAAAGTTTTGCCTGTCTTGAATGGTGCTGCAGAATACGTGAATGGAACAACACATCTCGGAAGTGAAATCACCTACAGTTGCACGAGAAACTACAGATTAAATGGAGTGTCGAGAAGATATTGTTTAGACAATGGTCAATGGAGTGACGCGACACCAAAGTGTGAAGGTACGTATATATCCTGAAATTTTCACAGTTTATTCCTTAGTTATGGTAATAGTAACGTTTAATTTATTCTTTACAGAGATTCGATGTCAAGAACCTATCTATGCAGAGCACGGAATTCTTTCAGTAACCGGCAATGATCGAATGTACGGCAGAACTCTAATTCGTACCGGAACTCCAGAGAATTCTAACACTGGTGCGACTTCTTACAAGATCGGTGCACTTGCAAAGTACCGCTGCGAGAGGGGATACAAGGTTGTTGGAGAACCTCTGTCCACTTGCGAAGAAAATGGAAAATGGAGCGGCGAAGTTCCGCGATGTGTCTGTAAGAAACTTGAAAAAATCTGTTATTCAAACGACTGTAAAATGTTCACTCTGAATATCTTATCTGTCTGCATTTTTCAGATGTCGATTGTAGTAAGCCAGAACACATACAACACGGAAGATATACTTTAACGTCGAATGCAACTTATTATGGAGCAGCTGCGCTTTACGAGTGCGACGGCAATTTTGAATTGGATGGCTTTGCTAGAAGATTATGCCTTGAAAACGGCACTTGGAGCAGTGACACTCCGGTTTGTAAAGGTAATTGTCTAGAATTCAATTTAATATTAAATGTTATAAAGTATTTTAAAACATACTGTACGAGATAATGCCTAGAGCGTGAAAAATAGAAAAGATTACGTTATAAGATTAATGGAATTCTTGTCAGATTTGATCAAAAATTTAATTTGCGTCTTTCAAATTCGTATGTCTTGCATATGCCATATTTTCTTCTCTTTATATTCATGTATGCTATTTGTGTACATAGAAATTAGGTGCAAAGACCCTGAAAAAGAAGGAGTGTTATCTACGCAAGTTTCGACTCACAGCGTGGGTGGTGTGGCTCACTATAGCTGCCCGCGTGGGTTCTATATGGAAGGAAACGAAACCAGAGTATGCTTACAGAACGGATCCTGGAGCGGAAGTACACCCGCTTGTTTCTGTAATTATATCATATCGATCATCCTTAAATAACTTTCTATTTATGCAAAAGTGAAATACAAATTTACTGAAAATTGAAATTTATATTTAACAGCGGTTGATTGCAAACATCCAGAGCCTATAGAAAATGGAAGAGTGATAGTGGTAAATGGAACTACTACCTATGGTGGAACCGCAGAATATCATTGTTTACCGCAATACGAAAGAGTGGGACCGTTTTTAAGGAAATGCTTAGATACCGGCACATGGAGTGGAGAAGAACCTAAATGTGAATGTAAGTGAAGAATAACATTGGAAGTATGTTAAACTTGAAAGAGTGGAGACATATTCTCATTTATCAATGTCTGCTGTCCAACAGTTATGCCAAACGAAGTAGCTGAAGCCCAGGGTGTGGGTACTAGTGTTGGCATTGGAGCTGGAGTTATTATATTTATATTAATCATTCTCGGACTTGTTTACCTAAGACTGTAGGTAGAATTTTAGTGGAAATTCCTAGCTAGAAAATTTGTTAAACGTTTGTTCCTTCTTCTTAGGAGGAAAGCTACGCCGGTAAAAAATACCGAGAATGTGCAAGCAGCTGAAAGGAAAGAAGATCAAAACGCTGCTGTTATGTCTTACGCCACTCTTAATGATGGCACACCTAACACTATGTACGAAAACGTTCCAGAGGATGGTCTTTACGATAGTCCTTACAGCTTAAGTGGCAGTACCTACGGGTGAGGCAAAACAAATTGTTCTTTTCCAAATATGTCTCATTAAATATTTGTTTATGACGATTAATAAATTATTTTGATTTATTTGAAGATACGGCACCAACATGAGAAGACATTACGGTAGATCAGGACACTATGAGGCGGAACCAGTGTCAAATAGAAACGGCATTACGATTAATGGAGTATCTGTACGATAGTTTAAAATACGATTAGAACCGTGTGTGTTTCTTAAAATCAGGTATTATTTATGTACAGGAGGTTACAGATACGTGAAACTTTGTTATCTTTATTTATATTATTATATTCGGCGCATCGCCGATTTATGTAAATAAGTAAAGAGGAGTAACGTGACGATGAAGAGTCTATAAAAAAATTCGCGTCAATGTTTTTCATACCAATGATGAAAGCGTGTTATATTAATGAACGTTAATCACATACTATTACTTCGACAATTCAATCCATGTATTATTCTGTATATAGAATGTTCCCCTAATTTACAATTATTTGTAAGTCTCAATCGACGAATTTGTAACATAAATTCGTATGTTCATTGGTTATAAAAATAAAGAAACCAATGCTCTTGTTTTATTTTATATTCTCTTATAATTTCACGATATTTCTGATAATTGTTTCAATTTAAATTAATATATCTTAGTATGCTTTTACTTATCAGACTTATTGTAAATGTGATTACGAAATGTATGACAGCTATATCGGGTTCTTTCATTACCTTATAAGGTAATGATTTCTTCGTCAACAGCTTGCTCCAACTAGGGTTCCAGTAATGATGTATCCTTTCGAGGATCAAATGGCACATTTTATAACAACAAATTCAAAATTTTGAATACATATTATTAATTCACTATATTAACAGTTAGAAGATATTTATATCAATTTAATTGTTTTGAAAATAATATAACGTAAAATTCATTATAATTTATAAAATTATAATTAGAAAAATTTTAAGGAGAAATTATTAGTACAACAGATACTTTTAGTATACATACTATATTTGAACTTTAAAATAATAATCTTCACTGCACGTAACATGTATCAAGAATTGGAAAAAAATCGATTACTGTATCTTTTTTTCTCGTTGCAATGTGGCCTAATTTTTGGGTATGTCTAGAAAAGGCTCGGGCAATGGATAAATGATCCTTCACCAGATGGCGTTAGTTACCCGGGTGTGGTGAATAACCATAGAGTGACGCGTAACGTGAGTCACAGTGGTGCACGAGTGCCTGTGCTGTTCTGTTTTTCAGAGTTTGTCTCAGTTCGAAGCTACTGTTAATCAGGTTGGTGGAAATTCATTTGTTTGTCTTAACATTTTGATATAAAGCAGTCTAGTGATTGATTTGTGCATATAAAAATAATCTGAAAAATACGAAATATTTGACAGTAGCCTTCTTACTAATGTATGCGGACGGCCATTGTTATTGTATCGTCGCTTCATATTATGTGCATACGTTCTTGTCAATTTCTTTAGTTTAACAAAACTGTTTTTGTGCCTTTGTTGCTTAAAAACAGTGATAATTTTTATACAAAAGTTGTACTACAGATTCAACCATAACCAATGAGTGTTTATAAAAAGTCAAATATAGCCTATATCAATATAGTCATACTGAAATTCTGAAACAAAGAGTTGTAAAATAATAATTGCATTCTGATATTCAACTGTGAACTTAAAAGTGTAATCGTATTGAAAATATCAGATACGATGTTATTTTCCAAATAACGTCTATTTTAACGAGTATATAATAAACTTTAATGTTACATCAAGTTTTTCATTAAAATATGGTTTAAAATTCAAAATGAACTATACAAAGAATAAATATTTTTGCATAGATTACTATAGATATAGAGTGTAATGTCCTCTTTATTGAGCCGTCACGTAGACGATCTTATTTTTATCCCGATTTTGGTTACGTCGTGATTGCCTAATTTAATTGTCTAAAAATAAATAGTAGCTTGATAATGACGATCTCATAGATTATTCGATCAGTAGATAAGTTTAATGCTCTTTGATTTTTCTTAAAACTATTCTAATATAACCTAAGTAAATACTGTTAGATTTTACATAACCTCTATTTCAGTTGTGATGCTATTCGTGATAAATTTTGTTGTCGATCTAGAAATTTCATAAAAAACAAAAAATAATCATTCGTACATAACAGAAAAGCCTATAAATATAAAAAAATTTTAACTGTTTTTTATTTGTTATTTTAGGAATACAAACATGTCTTCGCGTAAAACAGCTGGACGTCGTGCAACAACGAAAAAGCGAGCACAACGAGCGACATCAAACGTCTTTGCGATGTTTGATCAAGCACAAATTGCTGAATTTAAGGAAGCTTTCAACATGATCGATCAGAATCACGATGGTTTTATCGATAAGGAAGATCTTCACGACATGCTTGCCTCGCTAGGTAAGAAACCGAAGAAAGTATTTACCATACAATGGATATTTCTCAAATTTTACACGGTCATTCATTTTTGATTTCAGGTAAAAATCCGACCGATGAATATTTAGAAGCAATGATGAACGAGGCTCCGGGTCCAATAAATTTTACAATGTTCTTAACTTTGTTCGGCGAAAGACTTCAAGGTACTGATCCGGAAGACGTAATTAAAAATGCCTTTGGTTGTTTCGACGAAGAAAACACTGGACACATAAACGAAGAACGTCTCCGAGAATTACTTACGACAATGGGAGACAGGTAATTTTATATATATTATGTAATATTTATTACTCGACTGGAATAAACGAAAACTTCATCAGGTCTTTTCGTACATCTAGATTTACGGATGACGACGTCGATGAAATGTATCGAGAGGCACCTATCAAAGGATCGATGTTCGACTACATAGAATTTACCCGAATTTTAAAGCACGGTGCTAAAGACAAGGATGAACAGTGAAAACCCTGAAGTCATCTGTTCTTTATATTCGTGTGATTGAGCGTGTAACACGCTTTAATATGGTTGCAATTGTAAAGTTTGAAATATTACTTGTATTTTGTACATCCCCTATTAATGAGAATAACTGAAAATCTAGGATTTATATTATTTTTCGAACAACTGCCTTATCTCTAGGTCCTAAATGTATAAGCCCCCAAACCACGATGTAAGCATTTACAATATTTATTTCAAAGTATAAATGTTCGTACACAAACTATACGAATGAATACGAAAAGAAAGAAACTTTAATTCGCATCTTGATAAAAGATACATCCAGTATGAAGTCGATACGAAACTCAATATGTAATATATATTATATACTACATTAACATGTAGTCGTTAAAGAGTTGGCATTTATATTTTAATATAATAATGTATTATACATAAAAGAAACACATAGTCTATCTTTACATCCATTCTATTTAAGTTTCACATACCACGAAAATAAAGGTTAACCTTTGATACTCGAGACACTGCAATTAAACACAACTCGATGCAAAATAAACGATGCTCCATTTAAATGGCGACCATTAGAAAAAAGAAACGTCAAAAACTTATTATTCGCCGCTATTGGTAGAAGAAGAAAAAAAGGCAAAATTAAGAAAGAATTTAACGTTCATTCGAATTGGCATAAATCAAAGATACTAAAAGAGTGAAAGATGGATTATTTTAAAAAACACACGAGAGAAAGTAAAATTGACGAGGAGGATTTCGGTAGCTGACAGGCGCGATCATTTCGCGTCTGCGCGCTGGCGTTTATGTACAGTATATACGGAATGAAGTCTCACGAAGCCGCAGTATCATTTCCACTGGTGCGAGTGTGGGGTTCGCTTCGTTCCTACGTTTCGTCATTCCTGCCACTCGCGGTGGTCTTTCCTGTCGCGTCTCTGCTCAGTGGTTGTTCCATTAGAGTAAATAGCGAGACGAAACTTACTGGATACGCGTAGTTGACAGTGTACTCGGGGGCATCGGCTTTTGCCGATCTCCTCGCGAAAAGGACAGAATTAATCGTCCGATCGGCAATGTCGTTCGATCATCCATTGACTGCACAACGCGGTGTGTTTATTGTTTGGTGAATGTTACAGTGAGTCGCTGTGTCTCGTGCAACATTGTTCGTCCCTGTGAGTGAATTTTCTACACTCGAAGTAACCCGAAAGGAGATGAGACGAGACACAGAAGCAGAAGCAGAAGCAGAAGCTGCCAGCCGCGAATTGGGTTACGTCCCGTTCGCCTGGCAACGATATATGACGCAACGGCCACCCTTCGTTAATATCACGGATCCTCGTGATCTTTACGTGCCGCTTTAACTGCAACAGGACTTTGCAAAGTCTCGCTGTCGAGACACGCGAAAAGGAAACGCGAAGTGCGTTCCATGCGACCACCTATCCCCGCCCCGACCACTCGATTGCGCAGCTAGTTTTGGAGGTTAGCCGATCACGATTAAGAAACTTGAACGAAAGCGACACCCACAGAGCCAGCCGGATCAGCTGTTTCCCCAGGACGACCTTTCGACTACCCTCGGTGAGTGTGCTCTTCTCTCAAATTGTTATCGCGTCTTCATCCCGCGAACTCCATTCGGACGGTCATTTTTTCCCGTCAATTTCGAATCTTACGAATCGGAATTTATTCGCAACACCATCTCTGATCGATATAGCGAATTAAATCGCCCTTTTAATTAACCTTACTATTTTCTATCGATATTTCACTCGGCAGTGTTCAGGTTTGTGCTACATTTTTTCCTTATCTTTTTTTTGCCGTGAACGAATTTAAATTTCAGATAACGTAACGTATACCTTACGTATATATACACGTTTTGAGTACTCGTTTGGAGTGGATTATTATAATGGCGGAAATTGATTCCGCGTGATTAATTTCTCAGCAGGACTTTGCTCGTAATACCTATCGGAGCGTACATTTGAGCATTAACAAAAAAGGAAGAATAATGTCGCAATAAACATATAGCACGTGACGGTGGTTGCGAGCGGTGTGAAGAGGAAAAACGCGCTGTCTTCGCGCGTCTCGCTATAAAAGGCTGCTTTATTTCCGCGCGGTAATTACCAAAGGATACTCAATGATACTCGTTCACGGCTGTGGACATTTGTAACGCGATTTTTTAGCGCGAAAATATTGTAGCACGAGAACGATTCACGATCGTGGACGGTGCGGTGAGTTTTCTTGAATCACGTATAAAAAGATAATAATATACAAGCGTGCACGTTGCATGTACTCGGTGTAATACGACCCAATGCTCCAACTGGTCATATCACTTTGATATTGCATAACGTGCTTCTACGACTGCATAAGAACATTAATACAAAAGCGCAGCGAGTCTTGAAACTGAACGAATTTAATTTCCCTCGTTTGGCGACCAACTTTCACGAGCTAATTTTACCCGATCGTTTATTTTCTCGCAATAAGGAAGCAAAGCTTCCGAACTCGGAGAAGTTTACATCGAGTGACGGTCGTTGGGAACAGTAATCGCAGGCGCCGCGTGGATTTTTCTGCAACGCGATTCTTCCATGTTCGCGTCGCCTTGGCGTGGAAACTAGAAATACGGTATCAGGCGCGGTGGGTGCCATATTTCGAGTCGAATGCGTCGCGAAACCTTGAACGCGTATACAATCGAAATATCGCGCACGAATTCGCGCACTACAAAATGGAGTCGGAGAAATGATTGTTTTTGCCTGATCCATCGGCAAATCAGGTTTCGAAAGGCGTGTAGAGATGGAAGCGGTATTATCGGGCTAATTGCATACGAGTCAGGGACGTTTCTAATACGCAGCCATGTTTTCAAACAGGTTGTTCCAGATACTGCCAGTTAATACGTTAAATCTGTTACGCGATTTTGCGCTCCGTATCGCGAATCCTCGTTTCTTTTCGTGTCACCTTCTTCCTCCACAGTGGACACACAACACGGACATTTGCTCGATACGGCTAATAGCTTTATAAAATTGATCACCTTGTTGCGTAATGTTCCTTGAGGTTCGTTCGACCAGAAGATAACCTAATTCGCGTCGCTCCATATTGTACGAAATAAATCTCTAACTACGTGTAATTAACGCTGAACAGCTTAAGTGGCTATTTTTAAACTTTTCGTTTAAAATTTCGCATTCGGTGTTGTCGCTTTGGTCACTTCACTGCATGATTTATTTTTTAGTCTACGTGTACAGCAGAATATATTACACGTTGTACGAATTCGCGTCATAGGAAATCATGTTGTAAAAGACTTTTTCTCGTATAATACGAAGAATATAAATTAATGTCTGGGACAACTATCGTCAGGTCAACTTTCGTTTTATATATTTTATCAATTAGGAAATAATATTATTAAATATTATTAATTATTAATGTAATATGTATTATTAATGTGCATATGTAAACAATACATTTTTGTTTCGTATAAGTCGAAGAATAATTCGTAAGTTCGAGAAATTCGCTTAACAAATTCATTATAATTATTTAAACAAAACTCGGCAAACATTTTTGCGGCATTGTCTAACCCTTTGCACTCGAAAGGAGACGGCGGTTCGCCATTTATCATATGAATTTTTATTTGCTGTTCTGAAAGATGTCGTCGGCTTTATGGCAGAAAATCTTTGAATTTCTACACTTGTACAGCGAAAAAATCCAGTGCAAAAGGTTAATATATAACGGGTCATGTGAAAATACTAGTCGCAATATTTTTAGCGCGTTATATGGTAGTCTACTGTAAACAATTTTTCGGTGTCTTTTTGAAGATTCTTATTTCCATTTTTCATCCATCGGGCAATTTTACCGGTCGTGGTAGGTATATCGTTGAATAAGATGGACTTGAAAATGGAACCGTATATAATACCCTGCGTAATAAACTCGGATAAAATATGCGAATTTCGAAGGAGCAAGGAATGAGAAGAATAAGTAAACACGCAGACGCCAGTCAGCAACGTCGGATCGTGAAATGCAAAGTTTTAAAATCCCCTTTTGGTGTTTGCCTGATCATGCCGGGAAACCTTATACGGTACAGTGTCACGTTTTCAGCAATATCAGTGCGCTGCTGGTGGGAATTGTTACAAAACTATTTGACATCATTCGCAGATCAGCTTGCGAAATCGACTCCTTATAAATGGAAATACGATTACAATTTCTTGCTCTAACGAAGGAACTAGGACTTAACGATGGTTGCAAACGGGCAAATGAATCTGGATCGTTTTATATTATTTATAACTCACCTATGCGACTGTGACGAATGAGCGAGATATCGTATAAGCTATAAAAGATCTCTTACAAAACTATTCGACTTTATTCGCAGATCAGGTTGCGAAATGAACTCTTTATAAATTAAAATACGGTGACAATTCGTTTCAACGAAGGAACTAGAACCTAACGATGGTTGTAAACGGATTACTCGCTTGCTCTTTCACTCTCATCGAGTCCACATAAACCTAACTCACCTGTATGACTAACTCTTAAACGAGGTACCATATGGGCTACGAAAAGATCTTCCTTCTTTTCCAAATTTTTAAAACCAGAAACGTAAAAGAAATATTTTGGGAACGAAGGGGTTTACAAATATAGACACGACAGTATGTAATCCTAAGCTCGTGTTATAGGGAGTTAATCAGAGTTTTACACGGTTGAAGAAAGAAACGGAGGATTGACGCGCATTCAAGTACGTACTCGAAGTGTCGAGGGAAAGAAAAGAGATACAGCAAGTGAAACGTGTGGATAGAGTTATCGAATAGAAGCAGTTGTATGCGACAACTGTGCCAGGTTACACGCGAGCGAACGAGGAGAGCCACTCGTCGAATATCCTCCTTGGATCGACGTTGGTCCAACTTGATGGAAGACGATAAATAAGTCTTCGTTCGATGATGTTATCCGTTATCCCGTATCGTAGCCATCGATCGCCGTGACGTATAATTACGTTATCCGTGCAAGTATGATCCGCGAGTGGTGCATTTGCCCGCTTGCCGGACGTAGCCTACGGACTCGCGAAGCTGTCTCGAAGACGCCACGCTTAACAATCGTTTGCGGCGTTTAGGTCACCTCGTTTGCTTCGTCCAGAACACTCCAGCCGTATATGCGATTGTACAGCTGCGATTTAGGCTAAGCCACTTTGCGAGCGACGTTCCACTAAAGCTGTATCGCGCGATTAAACCATCCTGCATCGTTATTTTCCGTCATGCTGCCACCCGTTCGTTACCAAACTTTTCACGGTCTCAGTTCCGGGTCTACGTCGAGCGATAACGCGAATCTCGTCCTCGTGAAAGCGAATTGACATTTTTTCAAGGACAGTCGACAATCCCCTCGCGAGATACCGTTGACATTACTCTGGCCGGTCGGAAGAGGGAAATGTCACGATTATCGCGGCGATCATCGTCATTAGAGATATACGAGCTCTCCGGGAGAGTTTCTTCCTCCCAGAGATAGTCTGACGCGAGTTAATTTAGTATATACGGGGGCGAGCATGTACCAGGAACATCTCCAAAACATCTTGGACGGACGTCTAGCCGTGATTCAATCTCGAGCCAAAATATCCGGGTCAGTCGTTGTAGAGAGCGAGTAGGTTAAAGTTTGCTGTGTCACGAGGCCGTCTAGACAACATTAGGCGAACGAGAACGATCGCGGCCATTCGTCGGGGAGGAAGCTGACCTCCCCATCGGCACATCCCGCCGTTGCCGATTTCCCATGAAGCGACGGCAGTCGTCGCACGTCGGCAATAAAACGTCACGAGTTACCGGGCAAGGGGGTGCTCTCCGTTTCGATAACGAAAGCGGTTCGCCGGCAAGGGAGGATGGGAGAAGCCTAGCCTCGAGTAGGATGAACGACGCCGATTCCAGCGGGGTTAGGTTTCGCGGCGCGCAGGCGTCGTATCGATTTCTTCCTTTACCTTTGCCTTTGCCTTTGCCTTTGCCTTTGCTTCTGCCTTTGACTTCGTCTCTACCTTTGTCGTGCGTGTACACGCAAAACGACCAACCGACCGCCCTGCGACCATTTCCTCTCCTATCTAGGGACGGTCATTATCGCGGGGGATGTACCGCGTTAACCTCGGTGCAACGGCGATCGAGGGTAACGCGAACTCTTAGGCTAGTCGAGTTCCACGATTCCTTTAGGCTCGCTTCGAGTGTTGGAACCGAAGAGAATCGAGGTATCTGCTGCGATACTATAACGTATTAAACCCATTGATCTACGATTGAGTTTCGATGGACTATAGTCGACAGCAGCGTCGGACACGTTGAAACACGTTGAGAGAGGTCAGACATTTCGGGACACTGGGTGCGACGAGCGCAAAGAATAACACGCAGTTGAAACAGGAAGACTTGGACGAAAATTAACCGTGAGCCTGACTCCTGATATTTACGCTTTGGGACCAATCGACAAGCCGCGCCTCTCAGCCACGAGGCTCGTGTTTGCCTCGATTTCCTTGCCACGAGTCTCGCGATACTGTAGGCGAACGCTTAACGATTTTCATTCGAACCCATGCTCGGATGCCGCGCAGGTATGATGTTACTTTTATTAATGCGCTATGCACGCGAAGAGAT